AAAAAAAAAAAAAAAGAGTTGCACGGTCTTCCAACGGAGCCAGCCAGGTGCCCCTAGTTAGGGAAAGATTTCTTAAACAGATCACAAAAAGCAACAGCTATAAAGGAAGAGCTTGATAAACTGAACTACATTCAAATTAAGAATATGTGCCTATCAAAAGACACCATTAAGAGAGTGAAGAGTAAAGTCAAGAGAACAGATATATATATAACACATATAACTGATAAAGGGCTCACATTCAGAATATGTAAGTAACTCCTGTAAGTCAATAAGAAAAAGACAATCTAATAGAAAAATGGGTAGAAGACCTGAATGTGTAATTTACCAAAAAAGATATCAAAGTGAGTTCAACTTCCTTTTTTTTTTTCTTATTTTAAAGATTTTATTTCTTTATTTGACAGAGAGAGCACAAGCAGGGGGAGTGGCAGGCAGAGGTAGAGAGAGAAGCAGGCTCCCCGCAGAGCAAGGGAAGCCCAATGTGGGACTCGATCCCAGGACCCCAGGATCATGACCTGAGCTGAAGGCAGTCGCTTAACCAACTGAGCCACCCAGGCACCCGAGTTCAACTTCCTTAATAATCATGTACATTTGAATTAAAGTAACAATGAGATACTACTCCACATCCTCCAGAATACCTAAGATTAAAAAGACTGCCAACACCAAGTGTTTGTGCTGTGTGGATGTGGTGCAATGAGAACTCATTTGCTGTAAGAGGGAGTGCACTGTGTTTGACATCGTATGCTAGATCTAACAGTGAACATAGCAATTTAGCATGACAGAGGCTCCCTGTGCACAAGCTTGAGAGTTAAAAATTAAAGGGGTGGGTCCTACACTTTCATGAGCTTACCTCCAGGAGCCCCTTCAGATTCTCCCTGAAGATCAGAGAAAAACTGCCTGCTTCCCTCAAGGGAAGGGAAAAATAACCACTTTGAAATATGCCCAGAGTATTCTGTTCCCTTAACAAAACCCTGCCCTCAAGGAAACTATTCTACCAAAGTCTAACCATTCTGGGTTTTACCAGACCCTCACAGACATGGGGAATGGGAAATAACCAACTCCAGTTCCCTGTAGTTTTCCAGTCTCACCCAGGCAGAGGGTGGTGAGTGGCCGAGAAGCAGTTGTAAAGGTCTCAGCCTGAAGCACTGGCTCACTAAAAGTTAACTGGCTTCATCATGGGACTAGGGGACACTTCCCCTCCCTCCACACCTCCCCACCACATTGTTATGTATAGCTCCTGAACAATAACAGGGGATTACAATGGAAAGAACTGCAAGCCTCCGACTTTATTTCAGAAGAAGTCTCTAGGAAAACCCAAAGACAATAGTGGGGGGAAAATACAAGGACACCAGAGGAAATTTTAGCCTCTAACACCTAAGCTTCAGCAGACGGTAAATATAACTTCTACACAGATAAACATAGAACCTCACACTAAAGGCATATTTACCTCAGGTCCTTTTACCTGGTACATCACGTTTAGCTTTCAACAAAAGCTACAAGGCATACTAAAAGGCAAAAACCTATAGCTTGAAGACACAGAGAAAGCATCAGAACCAGGCTCAATATGGCAGAAATTTTAGAATTATCAGACCAGGAACTTAAAATAACTATGATCACTATGCTAAGGCTCTAAAGGAAAAAGTGGACAACATGGGAGAACATATGGGTAATGTAAGAGAGAGATGGAAACTCTAAGAATCAGAAGGAAGTGCTAGAAACAAAAAACACTAAAAGAAATAATGTCTTTGAGGGGCACCTGGGTGGCTCAGTCATTAAGCGTCTGCCTTCAGCTCAGGTCATGATCCCAGGGTCCTGGGATCAAGCCCTGCATCAAGCTCCCTGCTCGGCGGGAAGCCTGCTTCTCCCTCTCCCACTCCCCCTGCTTGTGTTCCCTTTCTCGCTGTGTCTCTCTCTGTCAAATAAATAAATAAAATCTTAAAAAAAAAAAAAAAAGAAAGAATGTCTTTGATGGGTTCATCAGTAGACTGGACACAGTTGAGAAAAGAATCCATGAGCTTGAAGATATGTCACTAGAAACTCCCCAAACCGAAAAGCAAAGAGAAAAAAGAATGAAACAGAATATCTAAGAACTGTAGGACAATTATAAAAGTGTAATCATACTTGTAATACAAAAGGACAAGAAAGAAGGAATCTACGAAGTAATAACGGCTGAGAATTTTCCAAAATGAATGACAGACACCAAACTACAACCAGGAAGCTCAAAAAATTGTAAGCAAATACCAAAAAAAGTCTACACTTAGGCATATCATATTCAAACTGCAGAAAAATCAAAGACACAGAGAAGATCTTGAATTGTAAGAAGCCCGGTGGAGGAAATACACCTTATTTATAGAGAAACAAAGATAAGATTTTCACTAGACTTCTCTGCAGAAACCCACCAATCTAGAATTCTGTGTCCAGCAAAATATCCTTCAAAAAAAAAATGAAGGAAAAATACTCTCTTGGACAAACAAAATTTGAGGATTTTGTAGATCTGCCTGTCAAGAAATGTTAAAAGAAGTTCTTCAGAGAGAAGGAAAATTATATAGGTAAGAAACTCAGATCTACATGAAGAAAGGAAGAATGTTAGAGAAGGAATAAATGGACTTCTCCCTCCCCTCACGTCTTGATGCCAAGCCCATACTTGGATCCCCAGGCCCATGCTGAATGATATGGACATGGAGCACAACGGCTCTGTGGGCTTAAAAAAATAAAGATTTGCTTTCGTGACCCACAGCTGCAACCTCTAATTTAAAGATACTGCAATGGACATAGCAAGTTCTCTGGCTCATGGAAGGGAGAAATCTATTCCAAAGACTGTGAGCAAAATTTGGAAATAAGAAATAAAAATATGATGAAAGCTATCTTCCCCTCAACTTTACAGAAGTTGTTACATACCTTATTGCGTCATATGCAACAGAATATTTCCCTACAGTGTTAAAGAAAAACCAATTTGGAAGAAAAAAATATAAAAAGAAAAAAGAAGAACCGGAGCTGGACAGTAGTAGTTAATGCAGTAAAAGCAGGTTTTATTCAGAAACTATTGCAACAGGGGAAAAAGAGGCCTCAGTATAGAACTGGGCCCCACCCCTAGGACAGCACAAAATGGGGACTAAAAAAAGCCAAAGAGGAGGGTCAGGGTCAGGGGATGGAAAATTACTAAGAGGCAACCTCAGGAATAGAAAGATTCTAGTTAAACAGACCCGACAGGATTCTTGCTGAAGGCAGGCCAGGGTGGTCAGATGCTGTACAAAGGAAAACCCACAGTCTTTCCACCCCTGAGTCTTTCTCCTGTGAATCTCCCTTACTACTCACACAAAACACTTCACTTCTGGTCACCAAAAGAGTGGTTTTTTTCCCTACATGAAGCAATTCTCCATGACATCAGCTGGGGTGTCCTGCAATTCAACTCAATTCTGACACTATCTGTCCAGAGATAGCATCAGGTTCCACAGGTTAAGGTTCAGACCCACAAAGCAGCCGCCCCTCCCCCACTTCAGATGCCAATCCAAGTCCAGGTTATCACCTGTGCTTCTGACTGATAAGCTCTAGAGTGGAACTTCCAACAACCCCTTCCGTAGGTTCAATTCATTTGCTAGAGTGGCTCACAGGGCTCGGGAAACACTTCTGTTTACCACTGTATTAAAGGATGTGATAAAGGATACGTGACCAGTTAGATGAAGAGATACACTGGGCGAGGTCTGGGAGGGTCCTGAGCACAGGAGCTTCTGTCCCTATGGAGCTGGGGTGCATTACCCTCCCAATGTGGATGTGTTCATCCATGTGGAGACTCTCTGAACCCTGTAATATTGGGATTTTTATGGAGGCTTCCTCATGTAGATCATTAACTCCATTTCCAGCCCCTTTCCCCTCTCTTGAGGATTGGTGAGGGGCAGTGGTATGGAGCCGAATAGTCCAGCTCCAATCATGGCTTGGCCTTTCTGATGACAGTCTCTGTCCAGGAGTCATCCAGGAGCCCCTCCAGAGTTGCCTCATTAGAACAAGACATTCTTACCACCCAGGAAATTCCAAGGGATTTAGGAGTCCTCTGTCAGGAGCTGGGGTTGAAGACAAAATATTAGAACAAGAGACGCTCCTAGTGCTCTGAACACTTGGGAAATTTAAGGGTTTCAGTTCCTGTGCCAGGAACTGGGGGCAGACACCAATATATATGTTTTATTTTCTCACAGATACCAAAGCGGGTAGATGAAGAATATTATCAGATGTTGAGGGTGGAGAGTTCTCTCTAAACTGACTTGACAAGATTCTTGCTACAACTGGGTGGTGCAGGATAGCCAAGGACAGACTACAAGGTCCAGGCCTAGAGAAGAATGACTAAAGTTTAGTCAAGGAGAGTCTTTGTTCATAGCTACTGTGAAGCCAGTTAAACTGTGGTATCATGTTGACACTGATCAGCCAGAGTTTTAAGAAAAAGGAACTGAATTATTTGAAGTATAGACATCATGGCTTTCTTTAAACACCAAAAATTATTACAGATTTCCAAACTAAACATGAAAAGGCCACCAAAGCATCCTTAATTTTTAGTAAGGTAAATATCAATCACTCTAAGCCACATAAACAAAAAGGCCTTTGGGGGTGTTCCCCTCCCCCTTTATTTAGAGTAAAGGGTTCCTGAGACCCAAGTGAGAAGACCATTGTGAATTATCCCCAGCCTTAACAGGTCCCTTTCTTGCACCGACTTCAAGAAGAGCCATCAAGAGAGAATCCTAAGTACCTCTCTGTAAAAGCCCTTGGCCAGGCCTACATTTTTTAGTTCTTTTAGGCCAGTGAGCTGGTGTTTGGTGAGCTGAGGGACTTTGGACCACAGTTAGCTTTTTTCCTCTCTGTTCTCTTTCTCTTTTGTTTCTTTTTTTCTCATCTTTATATAGTTTGTTAGTACTGTTAGGGGGCATTTCTAGTTAGTATTGCTAGCAGTAAGTTGCTGAGCTGCGGGACCTCACAGCCATGCCTGCGACCAGGAGACCTGCACTGACAACCACTGGCTCCTCAAGACCTTTGGCCAGGGCGGCTTTGCTGAAGTGAGGTCGGTCTGGCACAACCTAAGTGGGACAGAAGCATCCATGAAGGTCATTAACAAGAGCCAGCAGAGCTCCTCCAGCCTCCACAGACTATTCCTTGAAGTCCAGAGCCTGGAGGCCCTGAATCACGACCCTTGAGTCATGAAACCACTCAAGGTGACTGACACCACGGAAACACTCTATCTGGTCACGGAGTACACTACAGGCACTTGATCACCCACTGGACCATGCCTGCATGAGAAAGGAGCAGCCCCGGAGGCAGATTCTGCCAGATAGTGTTCACTGTGTAGTACCATTGCCAGGAGGGTATCATCCCCAGGGACCTAAAGCCAGAGAACCTGCTTTTGGAAGCCGACCTGAACATCAAGGTTGTAGACTTTGGCTTCAGCAATGAGTTCACTGTCGGCCATAAGCTAAACACCTTCTGTGGTAGTCCCCCTTATGCCAAAAGTACAACAGCCTCGCAGTGGCCGTGTGGAGCCTGGAGCCATCCTCTATACAATGACTGTCCAGTGACCAGCAGATGCCTGCCTTTACAGGACTTTGGGGGGCTGTGGGAGTGGGTACTGAGCGGAATATACTGCATTCCCCTTTATATGTCTGTGGAGTGTGAAAACCTACTAGAGCAATTCCTGGCCTTCAATCCCAGTGAGAGAAGCGCTTTAGAGGAAACCATGAAGGACCCCTGGATGAACATGGTCCATGAAGAGGAACTAAAGCCTTACATCCAGCCACCCCCTGGGCTACAAGGACCCCTGGCAGAACTGAGGTGACGTTATCCATGGGTTATGGGTGGCACCAGATCCAGGACCTGCTGATGGGCTGGAGTTATGATGACGTGATGGCCAACTACCTGATCCTAGGCTGCAAGAGCCCCAAGGCGGAGGGGTGGACCACTGCTGTGAAGCCCCCACCTTCAGCTGATCCTACGAACAGCTGCTGTCCTTCCCCATCCTGCACACTTCAGCCTAGGGTCTCTGCCAACACAAAGAAATGCGGTTGTGGTGAGCCCATCATTCCCACCTTTGTTGCATTCTGTAACTCAGAAAGTTGGCAGCCTGGGGAGGACTGGGAGTCAGTGGAAGGCCAGCAGCCCAGCCAAAGTGTCTGCCAGTCGCCCACCAAGCCTGGAGACAAGGACCCCCCAATCCCTAGCACAGTCCCCAGTGTGGCCCTGGGGCCTCCCCTCTACCCACAGCACCTACCATCCATGTGGTAGAGCCCCACATGGAACCAGCTGCCCTCGGGGTTTATCCTACAACAGAAACTCCCTCCATCCTGGGTGGCCCGGTGATGGGACCCCAGCCTCTCCCTTTGGCAACAGCCAGGGCTGACAGGGGACTGTTGGGAGCTTCTTCAACTTCCTCCTCAGACAGATACCCGTGTTTCAGGCTGCCCAGAAAGAACTGGCGTGGCCCTTCAAACACAGTGAAGCCAGCAAAAGCTCACATGGTGGATAGCCGAGGCAGGGATAAAACCAAAGACTGCTTTTAAAGAGGGAGCAAGAAGATCCTGAGTTGCACAGAGCCCAGCGACAGGTGTGGGAGCCGAGCCAGTGATGAGGCGACAGCTGCGGAGACGGGAGTGGTGCAAGGAGCTTACAGCGCGTGCACAGGGAAGCCGAGGCCTGCGTGCAGGGGAGGATAGCAGGTGCGGACTGCCAAGGCACTCTGCATGGGATTCAAATCAAGGGAGTACCTGCACTTCCACAGCATTCAAAGGCATTGAATCCAAAATGCTGGTGAGCTTAAAGGATGGTTGGGAGCCAATGGGGAGATAAGTAGAGAGGCTGGCCCTTTGTCCCAACCTGGATGAATCTTCAGAGACTGAACTGTTGTCCTGGGGCACTTCTTCCCTCCTGCTCTTCTGTCTCTTCCTCCATGTTTGTCAGGGAGGGGAGATACTGCTGTAGAAATAAACACAATAAAGAAACATTTAATGGGGAGGCATTTAACTTCCATTTTCTGAGTTGCTTTTAAAGCTGGATTGTGGGAGGTGATTATTGATTCAACTGGTTGTCATTCATGTTTGTCTTAGAGAACACAGGGTTGACACTCCCTTGAGCAGGTTTGATAGTAGTGATATTAACACCAACAAATAACAAGCCACAGACTTTCTAGACCATTTCAATTCCTTTTAGGTACAAGTGCCCATTGAACACACGAGGAAATGAATGTTGAGTGGGGTTAAGCACTTTGTACAATCATGGTGCTGGTGAGTGGCAAAGCTTGTATCAGGAGCTTGTGCTTTGAACCCCGGCTCTATGGCCTCCCGTGACTCAGGCCTGGGGCCTCTGCAGTCCTGGTTTTGACATCCTTTCAAGGTTGTTACACTGTGTCTCTGAATTAATGGATAATTCAGGAATATAAGAGATGAGACAACCAACCACTTGTGAAGTAATCTTCAGAGCTCTGGGTGAATTAACCTGTCTGCAGTTCCCTAAATCCTTCTCTGCATTAGTCCTGAGTACAAACTCTACCTCAAAAATGTTAGGAAGAAAGATGAAGCTGTCCAGAGTGCTGGAAACACTAAGGTTGTCTGGAGCCTGTTTAGCTGCAGGGAAAGTGCCTTGTAGGTCCTTTAGCACACAAGTGAGCCCCCCTGGTGTTAGAGCCTGATCCAGCTCTAAACGGATCTAGGGTGGTGCCTAGCAGGGTGGCCTTCATTCTCTTCTGCCTCATGTCAAAGGGCCTCATGTCTTATGAGCTAGAGAGCAAGTGTAGGGTGATGGCTTCCAGATGAACTCTTGTATATTTAAAATTCACTTACTAGACTCAAGAGCCCCTCTCCCTATCCCAATCCTTTTTATTCAGGTACGAATTAGAACTTGCCTGAGGACACCCACTCACCCCTGAACTGCTGGGTCACACCTCTGCCCAGGGGATCTGCCACAAGTGTGCTCTGGGCCTCTGTCCTCTCAGGCACTGGGAATAGGCATCTCATTTAGGGTGAGATTTGAGCTTTTTCCAGAGTCACACTGCTTGGTGAGGTCACTGAAGAGTTTTGGAAGGGTCCTTGATTGAAAGTTCTTTTTTGGCATGTCCTCTAGGTTGAGGTACAACCCTTCGGCATAGGCTTTTTTGATTATCATAGTGCTTGGCACTTAACAGTTCTTCACAAATAGCGTTTTCCCTTTTTCCTGCAAGGGAGTTACAAAGAAAGAATTGCATGGATATTTTGGAAGAGGGAGAGAGACACTAGGTACAGCTAGGGTGAGGATCAGGAATTTTTGTTTGTTTTTAAAGATTTTATTTATTTATTTGACAGAGAGAGCGAGAGAGCACAAGCGGAGGGAATAGCAAGGGAGAGGGAGAAGCAGACTTCCCACTGAGCAGAGAGCCTGATGCAGGGCTCAATCCCAGACCCCTGGGATCATGACCTGAGCCGAAGGCAGATGCTTAACCATCTGAGCCACCCAGGTGCCCCAAGGATCAGGAATGTTTTGTGGATGAGGCAGATTTGAAGTTGAGGCCCGGCCAGAACTCATGGGACCCTGAGTCCTCATGTGAGGCGGGTCACATATTCTTCTGAGGGCCATCATTTCTTTTCCATGGAAGCTGCTGGTGCCAGTTTCCACGCTACCTGCTGTTGGAGGGCAGTTTTGAGTTTGTACACAACACAGATCCATTGGTGGTGGTTGCCTGGAGCCTTGGCTGGAAAGGATCCTGAAGTCAAGGTCCGGCTCAGCAGGAGGGAGTCCTACTTTTCAGGTACCTGTAATAGTTATAGTTCCTAGTACTGCCTTCACTGTGGCTCCCACTTGTAATGAGATGATGTTAAATGACTCCAGGGCAGAGTTAGGAGGATGAACATAACCTGGTCACTAAAGGAGCTTCTGGGTCAGAGAGCTCTCTGATCGCCACTGCATATATCCAGGCATGCTATATTTGCAAGTGCGTGTATTTATAGGCACTGCGGTTGTGTTTTGGATTTGCACCCTGATCCAGGCATTAATTTATTTAAAAGAATATTTTAACATTTTCAAAGAGTTGAGCATCTTTAAATTCCCCATTTCTGTTATTTCTAATTTTACTGCATTATGGCCCAGAACTGTAAGATGTTAAAATTTTTGTCCTTTTATATTTACTAAATATATCTTTTTGTTTTCAAAATATAATGAAAGGTATTTCTATTTCTTTGTGAGTTGTCTTGGTTTGTTAAAAAAAAATTCACTTTGTTATTTGTTACTACATTCTTTTGGGTAGGTACGTACAGTTCAGTAGTACTTTTATTGTTTTGCATATTTTTGTTTTTTTTTAATCATTTAAACCTTCATTCTCTCTTAAGACTTTTCCTTTCGTGCCTCCCATGCTCTAGATTCTATGATTTAATATTTCTCAGTTAAGACTGCTTTCAGCTCTAGATACTGGAAAATCTGACACACAGTAGTACGAACAAGCAAGGATAGGAGATGAGGCCAAAAAAGTAGGCAGGGGCCAGGTTATCTGGTTATCTAAGCACTTATTTTATTTTCTCCCCGCCCCTCTAAGCTTTTATTTTGTTGCAACAAGAAGCCAGTGGGAGGGTTTAACGGGGGTGGGAGTGAAGGGGGGAGTTGGGGGGGTGTGGGGTTAATATATATCATGTCTTTCATGTTTTCTATGGAGCACCCTGGATGCTGACTGGAGAATGGACTGTAGGAGAGTAAGAGGGGAAGCAGGGAGCTGGGTTAGGAGGCAGTCTTTGCAGAAGACCAGTAAGAGAGGAGGGTGACTGAAACTGGTGTAGAAATGGAGACAGTGAGGAGTGGATGCAATCAGGATGCACGGCAACAGGACTTGCTGGAGGACTGCATGTGGGATGAGAAGGGAAAAAGAGCCAGTGATGACTCCTGAGTGCTCCCCTCAGAAAAGAGGATCTAGGCCTGGGGGTGCTCAGCAGGTAGATGGTATTCAAAGCTGGGAGCCTCCGTAGGTTCGCTCTAAGAAGAGAGGGCCCATAGGAAAAAGAAGGGGGCTGAGGATCCCAGAGAACTTGTGGAGGAGGAGGAGCAATAAGAGGAAGACAGAGTAAGGCGGGAGTGAATCTGGAGGGAGGCAAATCCAGAGAAAACTGTTTTAAGATGGAAGAAGTGCTCAATCGTGTTTCAGCTAAAAGGCTGAGAAAACAAAAACTTAATCCTGAATTCAGTAAAATGGCAATCATTGGTGACCCCCGTGAAAGCCACTTCAGTGAAGTGGTGAGGAGGGAAGCTGGACCGGAATCGGTTTAGGAGAGAAGATGAGGAGAGGTAGCTTGAATGGAGCAGAGAAGAATGGGAAATGGAGAGGACCCGGGGGTCAAAGGAGGTCTGTGTTTAATATACAACATTAGGGTACATTTGTGTTCCGAGGTTGGCAAGGGATCATTACTGACACAGGACTGCAGAACTCTGGGGTCAGAATCTGAAAGGCCTTCTCAGCCCCCACTTTACTAAATTATAACCTCAATCTTTAAAATCAATGGGATTTTGGGCACCTGGGTGGCTCAGTTGGTTAAGCGACTGCCTTCAGCTCAGGTCATGATCCTGGAGTCCTGGGATCGAGTCCGGCATCGGGCTCCCTGCTCGGCCGGGAGTCTACTTCTCCCTCTGACCCTCCCCCCTCTCATGCTCTCTCTGTCTCATTCTTTCTCTCTCAAATAAAGAAATAAAATCTTTAAAAAAAAATCAATGGGATTTTTGCCATCTATTTCATGATACAGGCATACCCACAGAATATATCCCCAATTAATGTTTTCCTGGAAGAAGATTTTAATTTTTAATACCCAAAGTGCATAGCAGTCATTTGTCTCTCTAGTTTAAATTGAGTCTTCAAAAAATATACTTTGAACAAGGAAAAGTTTCATGTTGCTTTCAAATACAATCAGGAGACCATCAATCACACTAGTCACTTTGCAAATCTTTGGAGTGTCGTCAAGATGTACAGTATCTGATGCTGCTGGTCTACAACACAGCACTGCTACTGCACAAAAAGCAACCGTATGCTAACAGCTGTATTATTTTTTTGATTTAATTTTTTACGTATGATGTGGAGAACAAAGGCAAAAGAAATAAGGAAAAAAAAAATTTCCTTACAACTTACAGCCCATTGACAAGTCCTTGAGACAGGCAGAGTGACCTTCTTCTAAGAACTCAACTCAATACTTGCTAGAAGCAAAAGGCAATCTTATCTTAACATTAGCCCGACATCCAGGATCTTGTAAGTCTTCTTTAACATATAAAAATTCCTTTGGAAACTTCCTGTATCTCTACTGCCACCTCCCTCCACCTCGCCAAGATATGTTAGCAATCATCCTCCAAGCATACGGCCCACTGATATACATCTGATGGGTCTCATGACTAAGGTTTTCCTAGACAATAGTAAATGCCCTTTTCCTAACGACAGCTAACCCCTCAAGGTCCTGAAAACCTGGCTTCCAAATTCCTTAGAGATTTACACTATCCCTAACTCCCTTCCAACTTGAAAGTCTATAACCAGCCACTCCTCACGACCCCAGTGCAGATCTGCCCTAGGGTCCTATCCCCTGTGCTTTAATAAAACCACCCTTTTTGCACGGAAGATGCCTCAAGAATTCTGACTGTTCACTCCGAACCCCAACATTTTCACAGCAAGTAAACTCTCACCCCAACATGGGGCTCGAATTCACGACCCAGAAATCAAGAATTGCAAGCTCTTGTGACTGAGCCAAGCCAGACACCGAAGAATTGGTAGGGTTTTTTGATGGACTTGCTATGCCTTATAATTTTTTGTTTAAAATAATGGGAAATAAGGTCTCCTTAGAATTTGTTCTCAGAGAAAGTCCTGACATTTCAGGCATAGACTATTAACAATCACTTAAAGGCATATGACTTTCCAGCTTCGTCTTAGTTTCAAGTTTTTAATTACTTACCTTGGAAATTACTTAACTTCATTTCTTCCAAATCTGGCAGTAGGACTGATGCTCCAGAAAGTTATACCATGGATATTTTGCTTTTTTTGCATCCTTCCTGCACAGAATTGGAGCTTTGCTGAAGTGAGTTTGAGACGTGTGTAGTGATGGAGTAACTGGAGTTAATCAGAAAAACTAAATGGAAAAACGACTTAAAAAAATTATCACTATAACCCCCAACAGCAACAAATTGTTTAATTATTTTGTGGTTCTGAAGGGATATTTAAAAAGTTATATTTAAAGGGGTTCCAAAGGAGCCGGGCAGTAGGGCAGAAACTGTCGTACTACCTTCCTCCACAAACTTCCCTGATCTCTTGGGAAGGACCAACGGGAGCTTGTGGTCCTGCTGGCGGTGTGAATGAGGCCAAGGGGGCCAGGATAGGTCAGGGGAGTCAGAGAAGTGGCTTGCGCGCGGTCCCCCAAGGGGATTAGGAGCTTACTGACCTGCCCGCCTGACTTTCCCATCTGTACCACGCAGAATTGGGCCTGTCCACTGTCATGTTTCTCCTTTTCAAAACACCGCACTGGGCAGTCAGTCCCTCTAATAAGCTGTTCAGCCAGCCCAGGGCTCCAAGGGGCACTCTGCGGGGAGCCACACCACCGAGGGTCCATGGGGACGATTATGGCAGCCCCGAGGGACAGAGGTGACGGCGAGAAAGGTGGCTTTGAAAAGGCAAGTTCCAGGTTTCCAGGTACCGGTATTTCCATCGTAGCCGGTGGGTTTACGTTTCAAATACCGACTTAAGAGCTTCCGCACGGGTTCTAAGAAGTGTCACCAACCGCCAAGTCCGCGCGAGTCCCTAAGCCCCAACCCCACCGAGGGCCGCCTCAACGTGCGCGGCCCGGCGGCACCGCGCATGTCCGAGGGGGCGTGGCTCGGAGGGCGAGGCGAGTAGAGGCGGGAGTGAGGCGGTGGGAAGGGCGGGGCGCGCTGAGTCGTGGAGGTTGGTACCCATGGCCAACTCCCCTCAGGCTGTCAGATGGGCCGGCCTGCGAGAAATCCGGCTTCGGCCACAACAAATGGCGCCATCGGCAATTCGTAAGGATGCTCTATCACGATTACAGCGCGAGTCAGGCTGTCCGGGGCCCGCTGGGCCGCGCTGTGTCCCTGGCGGCGGGGCTTGGGGGAGATCCGCGCTCCTCCGGGCTTGGCGGCACCACCCCTGGGCCGCGGAGGGGCGGGGCGGGAGGAGAGGCCTCTCCGTGGGCATGCTGGGAGCTGTAGTCTCTCAGTCGCTCCCAGCCAGCTGCTTTCAGGGCTGCAGGACTACAACTCCCAGAATGTGCTAGGCGCTGGATGTTCATTGTGGTTTAGCCTTTGCTTAGATTTTGTGGCTCTGACACTTTACTTACCCCATTCCCATTCCTATTTGCTGCACTGATTGCTTTGTTGTTATTTCCTAGAGGCCATTTGGTTGTTTCTGTATCTTGCAGTGTTTTTAGGGAGTTCACCCTCACTACATAAAGTCACTGCGCAGTAAGTACAATAGCTACCTACTTGTAGTTCTCATGTTTGTCCTCTCCAATGAAGCTGTGAAGAATCTTAGTTACTTGTAGCTCCTCTCATTCTCATGCGAATGGGGCCACTTACCAAGCTGGGCACCTCGTCTTTGGTCTCATTGATACTATCTTTTTCATCTATTTTGAAATATACTCTGCTAGTAACATGGACACTGACAGACATTTTTACATATCTAACATCTCCATGAAGAAGGCCTATGATCCCCATTTTACAGGTGTGGAAACTGAGGCTCAGAAGGGTTGAGTAGCTTCCTAAACCTCATACAATTTCTCTGCACCTTTTGAGTCTTAACCTGGAACTCTGCCTCCCAGGTATATACACTTTGTGTGAAAGAAGATAAGTGTTTACAGAATTTTGGCACAAGGAGCTGAAAGCAACTTAAATGATTTTAATTTGAATACAGCTTTGCACAACTTCTTTCTTTCTTACTTCAAACTCCCAGATTCCTGTAACTCTCAAATATGCATTGGGTAGTTTCAAGAAAGGTAGATTCACAAAACTTCTTTTCTTTTTCCCAATATTAAAGTGGCCTTACTTGGTGTATTTTAAGATGCAGGAGAGTCAACGGTGATGTTATACTTTTCAAATGATCAAATTCAGGAACATCAGCCAACTTAGCACTGAGCAGCTGGACAGATCTGCAGTGCCTGCTGCTGCTGAGCAGTGAGCTCTGGGAAAGCGAGCTCTGGCAGATCCTACTCTGGCTGGGCGCTGTCTTCAGTAACACTGGCCTGTGAGAATGTGAGCTCCCGGATCTTGTATGGCTCTGGCTGGCTTCTTGATTTTTGTGGTTTGTTTGTTTTTGTTTTTTATAAGGGAAGTGAAGTTTAGAGATTTATTTATTTATTTATTTATTTATTTATTTATTTGAGAGAAAAAACACAGAGGGAGAGGTAGAAGCAGACTCCCTTGCTGAGCAGGGAGCCCAACGTGGGACCCAATCCCAGGACCCTGAGGACCATGATCTGAGCCAAAGGCAGATGCTTAACTGACTGAGCCACTCAGGCACCTCGGCTTCTTGTTTTTAATAACAGTTTAATGGTTTGGGGTGCCTGGGTGGCTCAGTCATTGAGCGTCTGCCTTCGGCTCAGGTCATGATCCCAGGTTCCTGGGATCGAGCCGCACATCGGGCTCCCTGCTCAGCGGGAAGCCTGCCTCTCCCTCTCCCACTCCCCCTGCTTGTGTTCCCTCTCTCACTGTGTCTCTTTCTGTCAAATAAATAAAATCTTTTTTTAAAAAATAAAAATAACAGTTTAATAGTTTGAAAGTGATCATGTGGTGGATATGTGTTTTCTTTCGTGGGTGTGTGTGTGTGAGACAAATAACGAGCCTAATAATTTCATATGAACCCATGGCTGTTCTCAACCAAGGACAGTGGTGGAAAAGCTGATTTGTGTATAATCACTGCCTTCATACTTCGTACAGAGAAGACATGTCTTCATGTCTTTGCCTTTTATATCTTGCTCGTCTGTGCCAATGTGCTATTTTAGGGGCAGTGCTAATGGTTCAGATTGCAGGGTTCCCTCACATACATTTCCAATTTTTTCCTTGTTTGGGCTTAAAATGTAGTAACATTATTATCTTAAATGGCATAAGTATCTTTGTTGATGAAAAAATTCTATTGCCAAATACTTCTCCTTTTTTAAAAAGATCTTATTTATTTATTTGAGAGAGAGAGAACGAGCAGGGGGGAGGAGTAGAGAGAGAGGGAGAAGCAGGCTCCCAAGGAGCAGGGAGCCCGATGTGGGACCCGATCCCAGGACCCTGGGATCATGACCTGAGCCGAAGGCAGACACTCAACCATCTGAGCCACCCAGGCGCCCGAAGAGAAGTATTTTCTTTATATTTTTTAGAGTTTTACAAAATATTCAACTGTATTCTAAGAAAACAAAATTAAAACAGGAAAAAAAATAAAAGCAAAACTGACTCTTTACTGTCCCTTCAGGCCCAGTCCTGTAGAAGTGTGTCTCTTTCTCCTGTTCCCTCAATCCTGCACAGACTTCATGCCAGCACGCGGAACCCTGGACTGACTGAACTCACCTGCCGACACACCTGCCTCCCCAACTATACCTTGAGTATCTGCTCTGACTCATCCTTCCCACCTGTGTCTAAAACATGGCCTAGCTCACTGCAGTCACATATGTGGTTAAGGAGTCCATCACTTCTATATCAAGGCCATGGTCTTGTTAGAGAAATATAACCTCTCATATTCCCTCTTTGCAAGCATAGCCTTCATGGAGACTGGGACATATTAGTACAAATGTTGGAAAGGAACTGATTTTCCCATCAGTCCCTGACCCAGTGCAATCATCACAGAGACAAGGGATGATGACTGTAGCTCAGAGCCTTGGACACCTTCCAGATGCACTTAGAAGATGCACTCGATCCAAGTGGAGACACCTTCCTATTTACTGGAAACAAGCTTTCAATTCAGGAGAAAGAGAAAGTCCCTACTGACCTGTACGTCACAAGATATTTCATGGATAGAAGTAGAACTACAGATGAGTTGACGAGAGAGACATCCCGGGACAAGGGCTCTATCAACTCAGTCTGTCACTGCCCTCAGGAAGCTCAGTCTCATCTTTTCTCTCGCTCATTGAGTCCATCTAGTGACATCTCTGTTACTGACCTCTCTTCCCATACACAACTTTTCCCAGTCCAAGCCCTTCTTGTCCTAAAGGCCACTTGGGCTTCTGAGACTCTTCTGCCTTATTAACCCCAGGTTTGTGCCCCAGAAAAGGTGTGTGGGAAAGTATTTTTGAGCAGAGATTTTTCAAATGGCCTCCAGGACAAGCCAGGTTAACCCTGCTTCAGAGGGAGAGCCTTGGAGCAGGTGACAGCAATCCTTTGAGGGCTTTAGGCCAGAACTTGACAGTGGAGCAGATCTCTGACATTGAATGCGCCCATTTAACTTTATGTATGCGGAAACTGAGCCCAGAGAGGTCAGATGACTTGCCCATCAACACACAGCCTATACATGACCTTGCACCCAGGAGTAAAGTGCCCTTCACACTCCATTGGCCTGTCTTCTTCCACACCTTTACCTGCTAAAATCAGATTGAGATGAAAACTGGCAAAGCTCTGGCGTACAGCAGTGGTTCTTAAACTTTGTTGCACATTAGAATCACTTGGAGAGCTTAAAATAATACTGATGTTTGGCTGCATACAAGATCAACGAAATCACAATTTCTGGGCTGAGTTCCAGGTGACTGGGGTACTGGAATCAATGCAAACAGCTTGACTTGTCTGTGCCTGGGAATGGGGAGGAGTGGGAGGGGACAAGTGGCCTGCAGGGTCCAGTCCCCTTCTGGCATCCTGTGGGCCTATGATTCTGGTAGGGGGAAGCTGTGGGGCAGGGGGATTGCTTGGGTCTACTGGGATTTAGGACTGCTTTCAAGTGGGGCCTGCACCTACCCGAGAATTTTGATGGTCTACAAATTATTTCTGCATCCAGAGGAGCTGGACCAGTCCACCAAGCTCTCTCAGTGCTGCCATTTAGAAATAAACTCGGTGCTTGGGAACAGGGGAAGGGCTGACTGTGTTCCAGGAAATTTCTCCCTGGCCTCTGGGGAATATTCTGACAGTGTCTCTGAAGATGGAGACAAATGTCTTCTTTGGTTAAGAAGTCTTTGGATGATTTAAACATAGGTTTACAAGTTACTGTTTTGGTAAGGTAGAAAACTGTAGTATTTAAAAATTAAGAGCCAATTTTACGATTTTAGAGCCAAATATACTTAGATTGACTGATAAATTGTTTAATGCAGACACTGGTAAGAATAAAAGCTAAGGGATAAGGAGCTTTAACATTAATTTCTATTTTCATAAATTTTATATTCATTATAGTCTAAAACTGGGGTCTATCCATGTCTATATATTTCTGTGTATCTCTGTATCTCTATATAGCTTTGAGATGTGTGTAACTATTTGGTAGGTGCCAATTCTCCTGCAGCACCCAAACTTTCTTTGGAGAAGTTGTAACACTTGTTCATACTAGTGTAAGTAAAGAAAAAATGTTTGGGTGGGCTAGGGCCTCTGTAATGTGGTCGAAGAAGAGAGGAAGTTGGCTAAGAAGGCTGGTCCCTGGGGAGCCTGGGTGGCTCAGTTGGTTGGGTGACTGCCTTCGGCTCGGGTCATGATCCTGGAGTCCTGGGATCGGGTCCCGCGTCGGGCTCTCTGCTCGGCAGGGAGTCTGCTTCTCCCTCTGACCCTCCTCCCTCTCATGCTCTCTCTCTATCATTCTCTCTCTCAATAAATAAATAAAAATCTTAAAAAAAAAAAAAAAGGCTGGTTCCTGGCTCTCTGGGCTTCTGCTTGGACACCTGGGAAACCCTCATTCATTCTTGACCAAGTAACAGGGGACCTAGAGGAGTGGGGTGAGCAGCCCTAGCCAGATGCCCTCCATGCAATTCTCTCAGCTTACATCATAAGTATGGATTACCCTCAAAGATCTTCAAAGTTCTGGGTTCTTCTGATTTCTTTAGTTTTCCTACGAGT